ACACACACTGCCTGGAGCTGGCTCAGCTAGCTAAGTAAAAGGTTCCCGGCTCGTGAGCAAATGCACACTGCCTGAAGATGTCCAGTTGCCAAGTAAAGAGTTCCGGGCTGGCACACAAGTTTACCCTGCCTGGAGAGTGCGGCTTGCTGAGCAAAGAGTTCTGGGCTCCTGCGAATCCGCAGTTCGGCTATTGTGGAGGAAGAGTTTTACTTACAGCTGCGAAATGGTGTGTCTTTGGAGATTAAGATCCCAGTGTCCTCGGGTCTGCAGCTGGGGTCGCAGGACACTGGCTAGAGTGTGTGCTGGGCCGAGGGGCAGCTCCAAGGCCTATCTTGTTGGTGATGTTGGTGAGTTTCTAAAAAAGGCCGTTCAAGACGGTGTGGGCTCCGTGCTGGAGTCCTGCTGTCCAGGGAGTGCCGGCAGTGGTGAAAGTCTCTTCTTGTCCAGGGGAGGCTGTCGTCCAGCTCCTGCTGCTCCAGCGTGATTTAACTTTCCCTCACTCACTCATACACACCCCATGCACTTCCACACACACTCCTTTCGTACTCTTACTTCCTCTCCCTCAGCTCTGTCCTGCTAGGCGCCATCTTTCTCCGCAAGGCCATTTTTTTTTTTTTAATCTTTTACCCTGCATGGCGCCCTGAGTAGTTCTACTCCTTCCAAGACTGTTTAAAAAAAAATTGTTTCTAGAAAATCCATTGGAAAGGAGAGTTGGATAGAAAATGCTGCTGTGAGCCTAGCTTCACACATATTGAGGGGGCAGGAGCAAACAGAGGGAACTGTGGGCAGCCCCAGCCAGATTTTCACTTCACGCTCTTATTCATTATCTTCCCCTTTTCGTCCTCACCCTCTGGGAGCATGAAGCCCTCGGGAATCTTGGTGGAAAGATGGACTCCCATCCACTCAGGTTCAGGCGGTAGGTTTGTTACGCCCAGACTTCGTGATCCCCAAGGACCACCAGGGAGCCGAGTCTGATGCAATAAACAAAAGAGCCTTTTCCATGATAGCATGGGCTCTGTCCCACTCATGCCAGCAGCATGGAGGAAGAGAGAGTGAATTTCGCCCAGTCCAGGGGTTTTGCTCTGGTCAGTGGTGATGTCACTGCCTCGGCTAATCCTGATTGGTTTGGTGAGGGCTAGGATTTAGTTACAGAATGGAGGATAACTCCGCCCTGCCCCACAATGGAGTCAGGAGCCCATCCTTGCCCCACCCTTCCCTCTCATTCCCCCTTGTCTTATGTGCATGAGTCAAATCATTGAATCAGCCTACTTCCTTTCAACATAAACAACAAATACAGTTACCAAGACCCTTAGTACCACAGTTCCCATCAGTATTGTCCTCACTGAAGTCCAGTTCCCCTCCTGCAGGCATAAGTTCTCCTCCTGGCCTGTGTGGAGTCCCGGCTGGGGATCTCACAGGTGAGGCCGCTAGTTGCCAGGATCCAGGCCATGCAGGAACTGGGATCTAGGTGCCATCTACTTCAACAGCAGTGGGCATGCTCAGGATAACAGTGCAGTGTCCCTTTGAGTCCTTGGGCAGTGAATTTCTTTACCCACATTGAGTTCCTGGGCTACAGGGTCTGCAGTGGGCACTGGCAGTGCATCTGGAAGAAGCAAACTGCAGAGCCTGTGAGGACTTGAGCAAGGAAATGGTTACCATACATGATCCCCCCCCAAAAAAGGGGGGGGGGAAACTTGTCTCAGTAAGGGGTACACCTGGCCCTTAAGAGGGCAAAGGACAGGGGGTTGGTCCAATTTTCACCGATTCTAGGACACATTTAGTTAAACCCTTTTTTCAGAGTCTCACTTACCTGTCCTAAGGCTAGAGCTATACTTTGAGATACCTTGGCTACAAAGGTGGGGCTGTTATCTGATACTGGCAGCCCGAATCTAGGTATAATCTCCTGGAGTAATCTCCTGACCACTATAGAGGTAGTTTCCATTCTAGTGGGATATACTTCCACCTAATCTGAAGTGTCTACAAAAATTAGACCTCATTGCTGGTGGCTTAATCTTTGAAATCCACCTACCAATGCTCTCCTGGGGAAGTTCCCTGGACCCGAATTCCCAGGGGGACCCCCTTATCTTGCTTAGCATTTACCTGTGCACAGACAGTACTTCTAGCAACTCTGCCTCACAGAAGTTCAGAAGTCTTGGTGACACTTAAGTGGGTAACCTGGTGTCACTGGGCAACTCTGACCTAGAGCCTCTGGGACCAACAGTCTTGTCATTTGGAGGATCCACCAATCATCAAGTCCTTCAGTGGCTTGCTTCTGTTCAGCCTATTCCTTCTGGCTGCAGTTGGTAACCCTCTTTTCTCTGTGGATGGCAGTTTCTCCATCAAAGGGCCTGGATTAAGACCAAAAGTTCTGAAATTGTGCCCAAATGGTGTGGTCCAGGATGACTACCACTGCCCCTGCATATCAGATCCCATCCTGAACGTAACTGCTCCCATCCGTGAACCGTACCTTGTCGTCTGTTACCACTGTACAGTCATGAATGGGTTGGCAGGGTTGGTGGCCAGAATCTTATGAATCCGGACACAGGGCTGGTCCAGGAGGAAAGCTTGGCCCATCTAGGTTAGCTCCTGGCCCAGAGTCTGCTTATCTGCTTCCTTCACCAGCAATGCTATGGTGGCCACTGCCTGGAAGCACACTGGCCACCCTGCTGTCGCAGGGTCCAGTCTCTTAGACAGATAGGCAACAGGTCTCTTCCAGGGACCTAGAGACTGAGTGAGAACCCCTTTGACAATGCCTCTTACCTCACTCACATAGAGGTGGAAGGGCTTCACAACATCTGGCAAGGCTAGGGCAGCTGCTAAGATGAGAGCCTTCTTTAGCTCCTCAAAGGCCCGTTGTTCCACTTTGGACCAGTTCAACAGCTGCATTTCTTCAGTACATGTTCCTTCTGAGGACCACAGTCCTTCTTCTATGTCCAAGGAGGCTCCCTGCTTTCTACAATAAACATCTAATTCTTTCCTATTAGTTGCTGGCTTTTTATAATTTCAAATCAACTTCTACACTTTCTTTCTATATCCTTCAAAAATACATAACCATGCCTCAAATTTTAAAGAAAAGGCAAGGGAGGAGGGAGCAGGTCCAGTATCCTGTTCCCAGGCCTCCAGCCACTTGAAATTTAAAATGCCACATTTTTCCTACAGATATAGATTTATCTGAATTTCTAAGCCCCCTCTAATCTCCCTCGCAGAACATTGGTGAAAATTGTCCAAGCAGTCATGGGGGGTTAAATCATACGAATAATTGTTTTCACATTGTTTTAACACAATTATAAATAAATTATAAACCTATGTGATGAAGTTTACTTAAATCTATAAAGTAGACACACATGACTAAAAGCAAAAATGATTCCCAAAGTTTAAACAAAATACAAGATGCAGGTACAAGCCCAAATTCAAGCTTCCAATGCAATTACAAATGACAAAAATAAAGCAAAACAAAACAGATCAAATATAAAAGTTTCATATGTTACATTCAACATTACTTCAGAAAAACTGACTTAAAAAAATACTGCATCACTGACTTAAAATAATTTTTAAGTGTCTGACAAATGAGAATAAATCAATCCTTGAGATCTTTGATCATTACTTATTTTTAACACATGTAATACAGTTCAGATTGCCATATTCTAGGCATTTAGTTACTGCAATTAACTCTTCCTAATTCAATTTATACTTTGAACTTTTAAAGCTGGCAAGTCAAATATAAACAAAGCACTGAATAATCTCTTTGCAGGAGAGCAAATAGTCTTGCCCTCTCTGGCCTCCCCTAGACCTCTCTGCACCAGAGGCAGTTTACTAAGATTTAAGACAATGTCAGGAAAAAAAAATGAATTTTGTTCATAGGTCAATCACAATTCATAAGCATGGCCATTTGGCCAGCTTCACCACGGAATCACCTGCCACTCCCTGCAGATCACTGGAGTAGCATTCAAATGCAAATGAACACATTCTTTAGCTGAAGACTCCCTGTCATTCATATGTACCATTACCATCTAGGGCGGGAAATTTCAAAAGCTGCTTACATTGACTTGGGAAACGAGTTTTAATTTATCTCCCAGTTAATCTCCACCATTTTTAAAGCTCATTCTGTACACAGAAAAGAGTTTTAAGCACAGCCCAAAACTATGAGCACTTGTTTTGAACTGGTCTTTTCCCTTTACATGAGCACAGAAATTCGCCCTTGAGGCCTATGCCGCCATGCCCCCCCAGGCCCCCCGAGTGAGGCTGCTTCGGCTGCCGCGCCAGCCATGCTGCTCAGGCGGCCCCGGAGGAGGAAGCACGGGTCGCCCCAGCAGCTTCCAGGCTCCGCCTCCCCTTCTCCAGGCAGCTAGCAAAATCAACCCAGGTGCCTGCTCCCCGAGCGAGGCCGCCACTGCCCAGCCGCACTCCAATGTGCAGACTGAGCCCCTCGGGAGCCCTCCCTCCAACCCAACGCCGTCAGGGGACCCCGCACCGCCACGCCGGCCACACTTCGCCGGCTCCATCCTGGGGCGCCATGTTGCCCACCGATACCAAACTCAGACCTGGGAAAGGTTCCCGTCACTTTCCGCAGGTGAGGCAACAGCTCACGCAGCTCACCTCATCCTGGGAGAGGCTACCGTCCCTCACCCCATGTGAGGGTCCCTCTAGGGCCTTCCCGGGAGGTCAACAGTGGAGTCAGGAGCCCATCCTCGCCCTGCCCTGCCCTCTCAGTTTCTGGGGTGCTGCTTCCCCTCTCTTACCTGACAAATCTAATTCCTGTTTCTTCTGGAAATATTGGCAGATCTCTCAACCACAATGGTCCTCGTATTCTCCTCTCTGTTAGAGGGTATTCTTTGTTTGCCATTTATGTGTCTCAGGAGGGAAGAAATCTAAGACTTGTGCTCAATAAGCACCCTAGAACCTAAAGTCTAACGCAGAATTGTATTTCTGTCTTAGGTTACAAAAGAAAATGTAATTATTTAAGCTATTTCTATGAATTGATTTTTTCCCACCCCCACTAGGTTTCACCGATGGAAGAAAACCTTTTCCGAGGCTTCAGTGCAGAGCACCGTTACCCATTTCCTCATTGGGCCACAGGCTCACACATACCTTGCACTCAAATCAAATCGGAAACAACTGATCCCAAAACCTGTAAGTAAGGAATATTTCCTCTTTCCTGGTTTTGGGTTTATAATATTGCAAAACCACAAGGTGGGGTTGGGATGGACAGACAGACCTCAGAGAGACTATGTAAATAACAAATCTGTTCTTGTTTTCATTATTAAAAGAAGTAGCCTTTTTTCATTGATTTGTCTTTAAGGTTGAAATCTTACCTAGTAATAGACAAACATGTAAATTGACCATACCTCGCTATGCCACCAGCCAATCGGGAGTGATATGTAAATTAACCTAACAAAGATGGCAGCTAATTTGCATACACCCTGCAGAGTGCTGGGACCAGATGCTTGCATCATTGCCATGGTGACAACACAGGGTTCTGCCTCCCCCTTCTCCCCCCCAGTTACCCTTCCACCACCACCCCTGCAGTCTCTCAGGACCTCTGGGCAGTATGGGAAAGCGGGGCTAGAGCAGAAAGAGGCTGCTCTGGGGCAGGAGTGGAAAGGGGCTAGGCCAGAGTGGAAAGGTGGTGCTGGCAGCCAGGGAAAGGAAAGCCCATTCTAGCACGAATCTTCCTGCATCGGGCTTCTAGTATAATGCTAAATAACTAGAATACTCTGATTGTGTGTTAAATACAGAGGGGCAAAAATGTGAAAAGTAGAAGAAAATACCATGCTGCCCTGCTTTGGGGGTTGAAGCCAGAGATATAGATCTCCTGCCTGCGCCCCACTTCCTCTGGCCCCCCCCGGGGTCAGGGCCTCTCCAACTGCTTTGTTCTGTTCTCTCTGCTTGTGGCCTTGGCAACCAGCACCTTAATGACCATGCCATGGGGCTCTATCCACTGTACCCTCTGTTCCTCTCTGACTTTGGTTCCCCCTCGTCGTGTGCTCATTTTCCCAGCCTCACTGTTGCCCTGGCCTTGTGTAGTGCCTGGCTTGAGCCCTCACTGGACTACAGAGGGGCCCAACTCAGCAGCCTTGAGTAATACTAAAGGCCATGTTATTTCCTAGACAGTTCTTTTTCTGGTTCAGAAGCAAATGTTCCTCCTAGATTAACTTGATTGTAAACTCTGAGAAAGAAGACACCTACCGTGTTTCCCCGAAAATAAGACATCCTCCAAAAATAAGATCTAGTGCATGGAAAGATAAGACATCCCCTGAACATAAGACCTAGCACAACTTTGGGAGAAAAAATTAATATAAGACACTGTCTTATTTTCGGGGAAACAGGGTACTAAAAGGGTTCCTAGTAACTAACAGGGCTCAAATGATAAAAAAAAAAAAAAAAAAAGCAGAGTCAAGCAGCCATTGCTAAACAGGGGCCTCTCACACAAGCCATGCTTTAAGGAGAAGATTGCACTGAACTGCCTACCTGCACTGTTTCTGCTAACCCTTATAAAGGAGTCCCTGGAACCTATTTCAATCCATAGCACTGAAGCTTTCCCTGTCCAACTGGAGTTGTGTAGCTCCCACCAACCAGACCAGCTCTATTCTGACCAATCAGGACAGTGCTTTTTGAACCAATCAAATGATAAGGACAGACCAATTAGGGACTAGGGTCTGGGACTTCTGTCTATAGAAGCCCTCTGGCTCTAAGAGTCCACTTTCCCTTTACATAGAAGGCTGAGTGTCCCCAGCTGAGTTGAAACATCAAAGATGTTTCACCTGAGCAGTGCAGAGCAGACCCGTGCAGAGCAGAGCTATCTAGCCAGAAAGGGGCCTGGCCCCAGGGGTGCCTCACAGCTATGCTGCATCACAATTGTTTTGCACTGAACAAACTTTCCTTCTTCACTACACTCTCAAGAACCATCACTGTGACAGTCGACCATGACCATGGACCATCAGTTGACAGCCCTTTGGAATCTTCAGCTAGGCATCTTATTGTTTGTTTTAGGTCCCCCCAAAGAATTTTTGGAAACGTTCATCTTTCCAGTTCTGCTTCCCGGTATAGCGAGCCTGCTTCACCAGGCAAAGAAAGAAAAATGTTTTGAGGTCAGTGGTTTTATTTCTTTACTAGAGGCCCAGTGCACAACATTCATGCACTGGGATGGGGATGGGGTACACCCTCTCACAGTCTGGGACCCGTTGGGGAATGTCTGACTTCCAGCTTATGCCTATGCTGCTCAAGTATAATAATACTGACCTCAGACATCCCCCAATGGGTCTTTAGCTCTGCTGCTGAGGGGAGAGAGGCTCCCGCCACTGCTGCTGCGCTTGCCAGTCATGAGCCCGGCTTCTGTAGGAGAGCACTGACCACCAGGGGGAAGCTCCTGTGTTGAGTGTCTACTCCCTGGTGGTCAGTGCTTGTCATAGTGACCAGTTGTTTCACCGTTCAGTCAATTTGCATATTAACCTTTTACTATATACATTCATTTTTATCATATGATAACTCATTACCTCAATATCATCAAGTAGTTGTTCTCCAAATGACCTTTTGAGAGTGAGAGCCTGTGATTGGGGTCACTCAGCTCTAGCCCAGCATGGGGTTGTGCACAAACATACCCTGCCCTCTGCTGGCCACTGGTTCTTGAGGGTTACTTGCCAGGTTTCTTGGGCCTGCTCTCCGGTTTGTTACTCCTTTGCTTTTCTCATACACTGAATTCATCAGCCCACCTCTAGCCTCTTCTCCCTCCCCTTCATGCCACATGCCATGCAAGGACCTTGCTTCAGGAGAGGCTTCACAGCAAGCACTCATGCACACTGGTCACTGTCTCACTGCAGCCATCAGCTTCTGAGTCAAGTCCCTGTCTTGGCACAGCCCCACATAAATACCCTTAGAGACTCCTTCTTTTTGCCATGTGACAGGACACACTGGGTGTGTGTGTTCCCTGCACTTTTAGAATACTAGAGTTTTGGGTGACCCACATGTAAAGAATAAAAGAGCAACAACATTTAATATTGACCAAGCACTTGGCAAAATGATACCTTAAAAAAATGGCAGTAACCATATTGCCACCCCAATCCATTTGATGGCCCCAGGGCCTTTAAAGAAATCCCAGGAATGGTGTCACCATGTGGTTTCCCCTCAGCACAGGTTCTCTGTATGACCAGAAGGGGATCCTGCACTGATGGGCTTGTAACTGAGGAGACACTACTTTTGTATTATTCTAAAAGAAATGCTTAGTTCTGAGACATGAGTGAATTCAAAGGGAACCTCCATCCTGCCTCATTCCCCTGACTTGCCAAAACAGACCGGGTCCTGATGGAACCAGAGAAGAACACCAGGAACAGACCCCTCTTTGACTAATAGCTGGGGGTGCTCTGCTCAAGGAGAGTAAACAGACTGCTCCAGGCCTGTGGGCCCCCTTCACCTGCACATTCACTGCCGCTGTGATGACAGTGCTGGCGTTGTGGGGTCAAACCCTGGGTTCAAAATAAGACCACCGGAGGCTGATGATTGATTTAAAAAAAAAAAAAAAGCAGGCAAGAATTTATTGAAAAACTGGCCAGGACAGCCACAACAGCACCACACGCAGGTGGACTCCGCACTGTTCCAGGGGTAGGCAGTCCTTTTTAAAGGTTCAAACCACAGGAATTTTCTTTTGTTCTAAATTCTAAAGGCTGGGAACATTGGAATGTGGCCCTTTCTTGCAGAAGCAGAACTCAGTGGTTAATCTCTAAAGGTTATCTATAAAGATTATCTACAGTTTCTACCCCTAAAGCTACTGAGTCAGTGGGAATCAATCTTCTGTATTTATGGTCCCAGGCACAGGAAAATTACCTTAGCCTCCAGGTCTCCATCTGAAAGCTGAGGTAAATATCATGTGTTTACTCAGGTGCAGGAGCCAGACCAGAGGGGTTAAAAATTCAAACAGCAGTCTTTACCAAAGTATGGTTGCTACTATATTTCACTGGGAGGAGTGCTACAGGAGTCATCTCCCTGAGCACTGGTCAGGTCATCTCATTTTCTCTTCCCAGCACCCTCTAAGCCAGGGCCCCTTCACATCAATGCCCTTGTAGGAAGAAGGCCCATGGAACTCAGGAAGTTGAACATTATCTACATTAGCCCACCTAGTGACCCGGGAAGCACATCTTCAACCAAGGCCAGGTGATACTGGGGCCTGGGCTTTCATCCCTCCCAGTAAAGGGAGGTGGAGGCTGTCCATGAGAAAATCCTGCGTTTATGTTCATAGCCATTTTCTGGAGGACAGATAGCAAGTTTTCTTAGGTTATAAAATCTAAACTGCTTTTAATTCTGATGTATTTTTTATTTGCTCATTTGGTTTTCCCTGACAACTTAAATCTTGTCCCCTACTCAAATTGACCTTCCTCTACTCTGTGGTGTTAACAGGGGTTGAGTGTGGCCAGATGAGTGGGAGTGAGGCCAGAGGCCAAGCACAGAGCCCTCAGCCTGGCCTGCCATTGTCCAGTGGCCTTGCCTCTGGCTTTAGGACCTACTGCTAAATAAGGGAGACCTCACAAATCACATTTCAGGAAACTTTTATTTTAATCTTGCTATTGGCCAAAGTATGTTCAGTGTGTTGTTCCTTTTATTGGACCTCCCAAAGGATGGAATGCAATAATTAAACAATAAAATGAGCACAAGCGAATAACTTTTGTTTGCATGTGTTTAAAAATATTTTAAAACAGCCGAAACCGGTTTGACTCAGTGGTAGAGCGTCGGTCTGTGGACTGAGGGGTCCCAGATTCGATTCCGATCAAGGGCATATACATTGGTTGCGGGCACATCCCTGGTAGGGGGTGTGCAAGAGGCAGCTGGTAGATGTTTCTCTCTTATTGACATTTCTAGCTCTCTATCTCTCTCCCTTCCTCTCTGTGGAAAATCAATAAAAAATATATTTTAAAAAATATTTTAAAACAAATTAAATCATCCAAGTTCAGTTCTATTCAGGAAATGTTAATAAGCCCTACTGTGTGCTGATCCCAGGGTCAGGCCTGGGGCACAGAAAGAACAAAATACAGCCCTGCCCTCAAGAAAACCAGCCTGGTAGTGAAGGAAAATGGTGAACAAAGGCTGTTTTTAACTTTTTGTCCTCTGAAATAAGAACAGCTGTGGCAAAACAACTGGAGTGGCTCTATTCGAAATTCACTTCTAGACCATAAGGCAGCTCTATATAATTGCGTAGCCTTTATGCAAGTGTACTTAGCTGTGATTCTTCTCATTTTTTTTGTTTTATTAATATTTTTAAATATAATAAATATTTATTGTTCAGATTATTACAGTTGTTTCTCCTTCTTCCCCCCCAATAGCTCCCCTCCACCCGATTCCCATCCCACTCTCAGCCCTTACCTCCCCAACACTGTCCTCATCCATAGGTGTACAATTTTTGCCAAGTCTCTTGCCACAACTACTTTCCCCCTGAAAATTATCAATCCACTCCCTTTCTTTGTCCCTGATTCTATTATATTCACCAATCTATTCTGTTCCTCAGATTTTTTTATTCACTTGATTCTTAGGTTCATTTGTTGATAGATATGTATTTGTTGTTCAGAATTTTTATCTTTACTTTTTTCTTCTTCTTCTTCCTCTTCTTAAAGAATACCTTTCATCATTTCATATAAAACTGGTTTGGTGGTGATGAACTCCTTTAGCTTTTTCTTATGTGTGAAGCTCTTTATCTGACCTTCAATTCTGAATGATAACTTTGCTGGGTAGAGTAATCTTGGTTATAGGTTCTTGCTATTCATCACTTTGATATTTCTTGCCACTCCTTTCTGGACTGCATAGTTTCTGTTGAGAAATCAGCTGACAATTGTATGGGTGCTTCCTTGTAGGTGACTGTTTTTCTCTTACTGCTTTTAATATTCTATCTTTGTCTTTTGCCCTTGGTATTTACTTTATGGTGTATCTTGGTGTGGTCCTCTTTGGATTCCTTTTGTTTGGGGTTCTCTGAGCTTCCTGGACTTGTAAGTCTATTTCTTTCACCAGGTGGGGGAAGTTTTCAGTCATTATTTCTTCAAATAGGTTCTCAGTACCTTGCTCTCTCTCTTCTTCTGGCATCCCCATAATTCTGATGTTGGTAAGCTTGAAGTTGTTCCAGAGACTTCTTTCACTATCCTCAAATTTTTGGATTCTTTTTTCTTTTTGTTTTCCCCTTGAGTATTTTTTGCTTCTTTGTATTTCAAATCTTTGACTTGATTCTTACGTCCCTCTAGTCTGCTGTTGCGTCTCTGTATAATATTTTTATTTCAGTCACTGTATGTTTAACTTCTACTTGGTCCTTTTTCATATCCTCAAGGGTCTCATTGAATTTATTGGCCTTTTCTAGGAAATTCTTGAAAAACCTTATAACTGTGGTTTTGAACTCTATATCATTTGTTTTCCTCCATTTCTTTTGTTTGTGATCTGTTTTGTTTTTGTTTTGTTTTTGTCTCCACATTTTCACTGCTTCCCTGAGTTGGTAGGGTGGCTTTGTGTGCTAGGTATCCTATATGGCCCAATGGGTCAGCCTCCCAGTTACCTGAGGTGGACACTCTTGTTGCACCTCTTTGTGGACTATGTGTACAGCCTTGTTGTAATTAAATCTTGATTGTTGTTGGTGTCACTGAGAGGAGTTGACCTCCAGGCCAATTGGCTGTGAGGATCCGCTGTATCTATAATGGAATAACTGCTGTTATAGAGACACACTTATGGGGTAGGACTTGTTTCAGTGGGGCTTTGGTGCTCACTGAGTCTGCCTCTTGAAAGTGTCACTTACAAATGTGAGTAGTTGAAATCTGGTGTTATCTCATACTGACCACTAGATACACTAGTTTCTGGATCTCTAATGGTGTGCAGATCAGCTACTGTCTGAGGCCACCCTGCAGGAGCTACAGAGAACTACAGTTTTCTCCTCTTTGCTTGGCATTTGGCAGTTTTGGAGCAGTCTGACCAGAACTACAGTTTCTGAGGTTAAGCTGGATAAGGCAGGCCATTTATATGCAAAAGCCACTGCGTGGATGTTGGGTGGGTTTGTAGATTGTGCGGGGTGGGGTCTCGGAGTCATTAGGCTAGGGTACGGCAAACAGCGGTGGCTGCCAGTCAGCTATCT